GTGGGCAGGGTGAAATTTAGAGAAGGAAGTGGTCACCCCAACTTGACCCACCCTTTTGTGTGCAATGCAGGGCTAAAGTTTAGAGAGGGAAGTGGCTATGCCAAGTTCACTCACCCTTTTGTGATGCAGGGGTAAATTGCCATTTCAACTTGACTGACCCTTTTGTGGGCCATGCAGGGGTAAAAATTAAAGAAGGATGTTGCCCTTCCAAGTTGACTCACCCTTTGGTGAGCCACCCGAGGGTAAAATTTAGAGAAGGATGTTGCCATTTCAACTTGACTCACGCACTCACTTTTGCCGATTTGATCTTGATACTCACACCCTGCCTCTACACTTTTCGAACAGGAGGCCGATTCTACCACTCGATGTGTCTTACTCCTGTACATAGATTTCCTGACTTTCGTTTGGCTCTGTATAATTCATTGCATGTTTTTTCCGAGCGCTCGTGGGGGGGGAGGCGCTGCGCCCTCCCCCCCCAACCCCCCTCCCGCGCAACGAAATCTGCAGATAGTATTCAACGTCCCTGCCATGAAATCAGGCTTTTAGTGGAACCTTGGTAAACCTTGCCCACCAAATCTGCAAATGCTATTCAAAAGTCTTGCGACGAAATCTGACTGTAAGCGGAACCTTGCCTGTTGAACATTAAAGCTGCTGTCATTCTAGACAAAAAAGCCAATCAGCCAGGAACCAACAACTTAGTATGACACACAGGAAGATTTGAGCGGAAACTTGACTTTTAAAAACTAAAGCTGCTGCTGCTGTAAAAAAGAGGCCAGAAAGCCAGGAAGAGACAGGAAACGTGATTTAATCCCCCTCCCCCAACCCGCCCCTGTGCCACAAGATTCCCGCCACGAATTTCGACTCTGAGCGGAAACTGCCTGTTAGCCAGGAGGCCAGGCAGGAGGAAAGAGATTAGTATACAGGCCGACGCCCAGCCCAAAGAGGGTTCGTGGTAGAATTACTTTTTTTTTGATTAAGTAATTAATTTTTTATTGATCCCCTTGAATAATTTTTTTATTGATGCGATAAATAGTTTTTTTTGATACTTCACCCGTCCACCGGTTCGTTCGTCCCACGGAGTCGTCCCCAGGTGGCCCTGAAAGCTGTGACCATCCCGAGTATCTGCGAGAGGCGGCTCGGACTCCGTGACCCGAGTGCCGAGCCTCCGCAGGTTGCGCGCGCCCAGTGTCACCACCGATGACCGAACCAAAAGAACCAGTGGTTCCAAGACATCGTTCAATGCGACCGCATGGTCTGCTAGCGTTTTAAGGATCAGACCCATCCATCAGTCTGTACCCATGAGAAGCGGAGCCATTTGGTTGGCTGAGAAGATGCTAGTTCGACCAAGCGGAGCAATTTCTGACACACGTGGAGCCCCGAGTGCTGCACCCAACGTCTTGGGATTTTGGGTTAAAACGTCCAACAGGAGACATCCAACCAGACCCAGTCTTGAATTTTTTGACTTCTGCAGGAGCTCCAGCGCTTGGAGGCTGAGTTCTCGCTGCAGGATGAAAAACGTGACCTGCCCACTTTGCTTCAAGGTCAGTCCCCATGAATCAAAGGTGCTTTTCCTTAAATGTGCTGGGTAACAACACTCGCTGTTCCTCCAGTCCCAGTCATGACTTTTGAGAGCTGGTACGTTGTTGGGTGCTCAGCATTCCGTGACTGCAACATCCACATGGCCTGCCTCCAAATCAATGCCATGCTAGGCCTGCTAGGCTTGTGCTCCCCAAATCCGCAAAGAGATTGAAGGACGCTGGGCAGCGTGGCAACAAGCTGGGCTCCGACTCTCGGGCCAAGCGTGGCGTGGCCGTTGCCTCTATGTTGGCAGCAGCTCAAATGGTCCACTGTGGGGAGATGGTTGACCTTGGGGTGTGTCCACACCAAGGATCTAAAGCTCAGGTGGGTTTCAACTGTTTCAACATGTCATTGAGGCGGTGAATCCACTGGTTCCGAACCTGTCCTCCTTTTGGATCCGCCACGGGTCCGCCGACGCCAACGGGTCCTTCGTTGCCGATCTCAGGATGCCCCACCGACCACCCTCCGCATGTCTCGCTCGGGGCTTCTGGACGAGGAGCAACGACGAAAGAGTGAGGCGAGGGTGACGAAAGGGGGCCCCAATGGCTGGGAGTCTGTCACGAGATGCCGGCATGGAATCCAGCGAATTCGAGTTCCTATACTAGCTATAAATGCAGCCGACAATTAGAACCCCTCTATCGCCAACAATGATCGGGTGCTCTGACGCCGACGGACTCTTTCACCATTTCAGATCTCTGTCCGTTAGCGCGCGAGTCTCCGAGGTCGAAGTGCACCATCTGTTTCCTCGCTCCGACGGGTCTCCCGTTCGCCCCGTTGGTGTGACAGAGAACTCATTGGGAATGTGGGAAGCTTGAGACCCTCAAGCGCTAGCGGGGGCGACATGGCCCAGTTCGTGGAGTTGCTTTTGGGCCATGCAGGCGGTGAAGCAGCTCCGGCAACGGGAGCTTTGGTTCGAGCTGCAGCTTCGGAGGCAGCAGGCAGGGCCACCCGGCCGGTTCTTTAAGGCCACCCAGTACAGATGGAACCAGCACGAGGCCATTGTGGCCCTGGATGGAGCCGCAAAGGGCCAAGATAGGAAAGTGAGTCCGAAGAAGTGTGGGTGGTTTTGAGGGGTGTTCACCGTTTGTGTGCAAAACACCAATTTCTTTTGACTTTCATTTTTAGACATATTATTATTCGATTATATTGATTAATATATACATATATACACATAGTGAACATTGCAATTGATTTTGTGCTCTGTGCTGCAGCTGCTGTCTTCCACGAGTTCGAGTTCCATTCGCTTTCCCGACGCAAGGAAGCTCATGGAGAAAGCATCGATGCTCTACGAGACGAGGCGCCCCAGCTGGAAGCTTTTGGGCGCTCCAGCTGGATGGGCTTCCTGAGAGCAGGACATACAGCTTTGGACTCCTCCAAACACATGTCAGCTGAGTTAATGCGTTGAAGCTTCCGAACCTCCCAAGAGACTTTGAAGCTACTGGTGCTTCGCCCGCGTACGGTCTCTTACCGCGGGCCCAAGTCGCCCGAATGGCCCGAGTCTGGCCCCTTGCCACCAGGCGTTCGCTCTGCGGAAGTGCGCGTTGCTGGGAGGTCGGAAGTCCATGAAGGCCCCGGTCCCGAGCAATTGACGGGATGATTGCGGATGGGTTTGGTGTGCTCGGTGCGGCAGGAGGCTCCAGGTTTCGGTACGCAAAGAACCAGATCGAAGCGGTGTCACGACCAGGGGACCCTGAGTTTATTGCCGAAGCGTGTTGAACCAACTGTGGGACGCTTCCATGTCTTTATGTGTGGAGTGGCCGCCCAGACTAAAGGATGAGGTTGAAGGCTTTGTGTACACGTCGACCTCAACCCGCTCTACCCCCCCACACGAGCCTCCGAAAACAAAACCAAACACAATTTTATTCAAGAAAGATAATGGCTCCTGTGGTGTCGAGTTCAGAAACTGCCCACAACTTGGGATAAGGACACTCCAGCCTTGTAGCCCATTTTCACCGTGCTTTCTTCAAGCGTCCAATCAAAGCCACCCATGCACATTTGATCCGGCTGTGGTGCCAGGTTGAGAGCCTCCCTGTCACTCCCCTCCAGTGCACTGCCTCAGTGTTGGGAGGAAGGGTCCTTTGAATTCCCTTCCTCTGGGGTGCGGTCTCAAACCACGAAAAGCGAGTCAACATTTATACATTTTTATACTGTACCTGATAGCTGATGATAACTTATCATATAATCCTAGAAGTCCAAAGACTATTATTTTTGCCACCACCGAAGTAGCGAGGAATTCGTTTTCGGATCACCTAAAGACACTTCTTTTAAAATGGTCTTGGACTCCCAGGGTAGAGATATATATGTACAGCAAAGATTCAGCGCGAGTCCGCGCGGTGACAATCCCATGGGATTCTTTCGAGGTCGCTGCCGCACTCCAACGACAGGGGGAAGCTGGTTACTGGGTGGCAGCAGGTGGGGGAGTGTGGTGTTGGTTGTACAGTTCATGTGACCGTAGAAACCCAGATCCACCGGATCGGTACACTCCAATGCATGCAGAGATAGTGAACCTAGCTTTGACAGCTTAGAGTCTGACTCTAATCTTGAAATAGGTCGAGTCTGAGTCTAACCTGTGCAGTTAGACCGTCGAAGCATGGCAAAAAGGCGACCGTGACTGGCCAGTTTTGCCTGTTTCCACTCAAGCTTTGCTCCAGGACCCCTTGATGCATTTGACGCAGCGCCTGCGATCAGAGTTGGAGGCCTTCCAAGTCACGCACGCCCTGGTAGAAACTGGTCATCCCCAATCTCCTTTAAAGAGGGTGTCTTTTTGCGCTGCAGTTGTGGGGTTTGCGAAGGGGGTGGCTGTCGTTTGACCGAGAAGAAGACCGCCGTTCGAAGGCAACGAATCTGAGCACAAAGTGAGATGCCAGGGGCCTCCAGTGCACGTTTGTCCATAGGAATTCGACAAAGGTGTCCGCAAAGCTGCAAGCTTCCGCGAAGAGAGAAAGAGGGGCGATGGTTGATGGCAGCGACAGGTGTGGATGAAGACGAGGTTCCCAAAACACTGCTTTGAGGGAAGCTCCGAACTTGACGAAAAGATCATCATCATATACGCTGTTGCGCTCCTGTGATGATCAGCAGATTGTAGAGGTCGGAAGATGATAGCCCATGATAGCCCATGTCAGGTAAAGGTCATCCACGTCGTCTGGATGACCTCTTGAAACATACGTAGCTGCCATGGCTCCCCTGCTTGGCGGCTCTCCGGCCGTTGGTCGCGGTGGCACCACCGGAGGCCTGGGAGTCCTTGCCTGGCATGGCCGAAGCACGCTGTAGGCGCAGGGATCGTTCTGGGGTGTTTTTCGTCATGGTCTTGTTCATTCAAAAGGCTTGTCCAAGCAAAACATGCCTAAAAAGAAAGTTTGTTTTTTGGGCCCGAGCACCAGAAACCAGTAACAGAGGCGCTGCTAGATCTTTGCTTTCTCGAAAAGGACACAGGGCCTTGCTTTTTGACCTACCTGCATTTCGGGCTCGACTTCGGATTTTGGGAGGGATCCGACTTTTTTGGAGAAGCAAGAACCTCGAACAAGGCCCGCTTTTTCACGGTTCACGGTGGTCCACGGCACCACTCTGCGACAGGGGCGCCGCTGCGATCCTCATTGGCTGAAATCTTTGGGTTTCTGATTGGCCAACTTGCCAACTTGACAGACAGCCCAAAACGCCAACACAGTCCGAAAACTGAGCGGCTGAGCTTTGCAGAAGCTACTTGTGGTAAAGGTAGGATTGGTCATTCACTTGGCCTGGGAGTTATGAGGGGTCAATGACACTCAAAACGCCACAATCGCCTCAGTTATTTCTCAGATGATGGTTGCCAACCTGCCTCTTAGCTGTTTCGGGCCAATTTCCAGGACTTTTCAGGCAGACAGCTCTGATTGTTGACTTTAGTCTAGCTAGTTTCGAGCAAAGGTTCACTCCAACAAGCCTCGAGAGTAGATGAGTTTGCCCTAGTTCAATAGCCATGGGCCTCCGACAGCGGGGGCAGGAAGAGGAGCCAAAGGGGTGAGGGCGGTTGGGTGAGGGCGGTGCGTGCCAGTTTGATGCGTAGCATGCGCAGCGAGACAGAAAGATCGATGCCAGGCGGCTCAGGTTTTGGAAGCTCCAGGAATGAACTTCAGTCATCTCCCATGTGCCGACGACCATTCTCAGGAACCTGGTTCCGTTTCGCGTGGGTCGTGCATCGGCGTGGGACCTCGTTCGGCCCAGCTCGTTCTTCAGGAGTGGGATGGCAATGGTGAGGAGGTGAAGCCCAACCAGGTGTGGTGTACTCCCGCGGCGATTCGGAGCGGTTGACCCGTTTTTGGTTTGGTTTCTCTTGGGTCGTTGCCTTGCGCTTTTTGCGTGGTTCATCAGTCCAAAGGCCTGAGGGTATATGTATATTTTTGGAGGCTTGCAGAAGAGTGGTCATGTATGCAACCCATGGATACTCCCATTGTTCGGGTCAAAGCACTCGGACAGACATTTGCAGATCGTGCGTTGCCCGTGGATCCGGTCGCCTTTGTTTTGATAGGTATTCGAGTCTTGTGCGTTGCGGAAAAAAATGAAAAAAACATCTCACAAACGCCGGGGGCCACTGGACCACAGTCGCTTCGGCCTCCACAGCCGCGGGACCCCGACTTGGGGTCCTGGCCGACGGAGGTGGATGATGCAGAGTGTAAGGCCAAAGACTGTCACAAACACGAGCATCAAAATCTCCGCTGCAGGAGCCCGTTGGAGCCCGCTTTTTGTGCGGTCCGGTCGACTTAAAGTCGCACCTTGAGACGGACTTTTGGCTAAAAAGCAGAAATGCCCCCAATCCTATGTCGTTGGGGGTCATAGGCCAACTACGGCCATCTCAAGGTTTTTGGATGCTTTGATATTTTGTGATCCCTTTTTTGTTCTTGAACGTTTGCAGAGCCTCCGAGCCGCCAGGAGATTTCTAGCTTCTCCACAGTGGAAATGCTTCACCCTTGTAGTCCCGAGCTGAAGCTCTTCCACGGTGATTTCTGTCAACGCTGTGTCCGCGCCGTGCACACACCGCATGCCATGTCGACGCATGGCTTTCACCTTGCCATTGATGATCCGGACGAGTGAGACCCGGCCATGTCGAACACTTACAGACCGAGGTGGTCGGATTCACGCCGGCCTGGCACCTGAGCGGTGTGTTGGGCGGTGAGTGTGGGTGAGGGGTTGAGGGGTTGGGTGCCCAAGCATTGGTTGATTTGGTGGAGTGTGTGTGTGGCTCTTGTGTCCCTTTTTATGGGCTGATTTGGAGTTATGAGCTCTTTTTGTCCAAAGTCGGAGGAACTCCGTCATGAGGTATAGACCACGATCCCTGCTTCCAGCCATGTGACACCCACATTCGCCGCAAGAGCGAACACACTGAGAAACACCTGCTCACTGCTTCTCACAGTTGGGACAGATCATTGTTCTTTGTTACATGGGCCATCCTGGTGGTTGACAGATATGCTGTTTGCAGATGACTCGCCATCCTGGAGCCTGACCTGTTTCAAGAGGAGAAGCAGCTCTGGTGCGGCTTTCCGTGATCCTTTCGCACCTTCCGTATCTCCCCAGCCTCTTGGAACGCGCCCCATGAACGTCCTTCGATCGATCGTCCCAGCTTCTTGGAACGGCCCAGTCAACAGGTCTTCGGTGTGATCTTAGCGATGCCACACCTGCTGGCAGAGCTCCATGTAGAGCCTCACACGCTCGGGGCACCCAGAGGAACCCGCCGCCGTCCGACCTCCGTTCCGCTGCTTCGGGTCCCCCGACCGGACGGTCAGGTGGTCCTATTGGCTGCACTACGGTTTCGGCTCCTGGCAGCTCGGCAGCGGAAATCGGCCGATTTCCCCCGCCGTGGATCTGGAAAAGTGGAATGGATATGAAGGCAGTTTGAGCAGTTCATAAGAGGGCAGGTAATCTGTGCTCCTTCGGGTCGTGGTTTAGTTTGTTGCACCCCCCGAGCAGCGGATTGCCTGGATTTTGGCCGTACAGTCTTGAGCCTTGTTTGCTATAGTGAAGCGTCTCTTGCCAGATACTCCACCCCAGGAGTCCACCGTTTGGTCCAGTAGTATTCTGCTTTCGATGCCAAGAGGGGTATCTTGGATGGATCTTCTGGTGCCATTTGCAGGATATCCATTCAGTTCCTCTACAACTTCCTCGCGTCGGGGGCCGAATTCTGAACGTCTTCGGCTCATGCCGGTTCCAGGTTGTAGGATGTACAATGCAAACGGATGATCGTAGACTGGAGTTGGATTTAATGAAAGTTGGCAAAGCCACAGCCGATTTTTCTGGTGTTTGAGACTTGTTTTTTACTATATATTTGTTCTTCTTTCCGAGGACCCAGTGGCGGGATCCTGGCAACTGCAAGAGTATCAAGCCGTCACAAGAGGCGGGGGGCAAAACCAACGGGAAACGGCAGGGCGTTCGTTTTCGATTGGCCGTGTTTCCTGCAATGCGGATGCGGCTCTACACAGCAGCTCCCCAAAACACGGCAACAGCAACATCAACAAGCACCCACCGCTGAAGACGGGGCTTGGGGTTCCACGAATTCTGTGAAGAGCAGGGGTCTGTGAGTTGGAAATCCAGTACATTTGTGAATGGAAGGGCCCTGTTTCTGAAGTTCTGAAGTTCGCCGACCAGTGGCCGTGCTTCCGAGGAATGCCAACAGCCGCTGGGCCAACCAGTAGTTGAGCATGGGTTGGTTAAACTTGGTGCTAATCCTTCTACGACAGCATGATACAGCATCTCATCGGCGGACACTATTATTATTGAATAGAGATTTATATGAAACCAGAATGTGTGTTCAATTGCGGTCCTTCGACTTGTTCAGGGGGGTCTATTTAAGTGAACTGCGGGTGATACCCTTCCGACTGAAGGCTATACCGTTCAACCTTGCACGCGTGTAGGTCACTGGGCAGTTCGAGCTGGGTGGTGCGGCAGCTTAGATGGACTTTGGCAGTGTCTCTGACGCAGAAGCCGAGGACCTGGTGTGTCCCCCACCTGGGTCCTCCTAGTTGGACCCACCGATCTGTGATGAAGGACAGCAGAGGATGTTGGACCCAGGCTGTTGGATCCGGACATCGGCGGTGCGATGTTCCACCTGAGGCGGTGACGATGCGCCCCGGCTTTTGTACGCCCCCAATTGGTGCACGTGCCTTGGCGCATCCATTTGGGTTGGAGATCACCCCTGGTGCGGACTTCTCCAGGCGAAGGGTCAGTGACAAGAATTGTGGTACATCGTGGTATATCGGGGAACTCTAACTGACCTGATCTGGGCGAACGCCCTGTTGTTTTTTTCAATGATCACTTCAAGCAAGCGCTTCAAAAAGCGCGGACAAACGCTGTCGGAGGCGTTGTTCGGGAGTTTGTATCTATCGAGACCTACCAAAATGCTGTTGAAATCCGGACGCTGAGGAAGTGTTCAAACTGGAAGCCTCCACGGTCGCATCATTGCCGGTGACCCCAGCGACCACCACACATTGGTCCTGGTCCACCTGGGGCTTGGAATCCGACTGCACGAGTCAAACCGGCCCCTTTCTTGCTCTAAGAGATTTGAACACCTTGCTTTACAGTGGCTTGCCGGTGAGCTCTGAGCTCTGAACTGTGCAGGCAGCTCGTGCAATCGGTGCATCCTGCGTGACTGCCTCGGTTGATGTGCTGCCTCGGTTGTTCGCAGGTTAGGCCACTTGTGAAGACAATCATCCTTGTGCATTTTGGTCAGAGCATCTTATTTTTGTGGAACAGGCATGGACCACCATTGCCCTTTCACCGGCAACTGCATCGGTGCGTGGTAGCCTCAATGCGCTCGGAGAATGACATTTGCCTTGTGATTTCTCTCATGGGTGACGACAAAAAACTGTCCAATCTGTGGATCACCTGGAGCGAATGAGGTTTAACCATGGGCACTTCGTGCTTTTTTACATTTTCGCGTCTGGTGCTTGGAAAAGAAGGGCCATGTCATGGGTGAGCTCAATGATGTGGATGGATGGGCTACTGAGTACCTTTCATTCTGCTGTGGCTCTCCATTTGTGGTGCAGCGAGGAGAACGTCATCCCGAGGTTCATCGGATTGACCTACTCCTTGGTCTTGCCGATGACTCAGATCATAACCATTCATGGGGCGAGTGCCCGCTTGGACTCGCCCGAGCCAAACAATCCGTGCCAGCAAGGTCCAAGGAATGGATTTTGCTTCTGAAGGCAGTGAGACCTGCACCAGCAAGGTCCCTGATGGCCGCCTACACCACGGACCATGCCTCCAGATGGACCGAGCTGATCGCAAGACTGGCATGGATGAATGGCCCCACATCGTGTGGTCTCACCGTCTCAAGAATTGATCATGGTTGATGTGAACCTCCGGCTGCCCCAGAAACAGAACTCCTGTGAGTACTCTGAAGAAATCTTGGTATCCAGTATCACTATCACCATCGTCATACAAACTGTCTGTGGAACTGTTTGTTAGCAATCCAACTTTGGTGCCAGCTTCCCAAGTACAAGGAGCACAAGGACACGTCACCAGCTGAGAGTGCAACTTCAAGGGTGAACTGCAGTGGTTTCTGGATATGTTACGGCTGCACGTCTGAAGTCTGCCTTGCGGCTTGGACCGCAATCTTTGTTGGGTTTGTTCATTCTTCGACTGTTTTCAGAGTTGAACTCGCCCTGAGGGTGGGCAAACACTTCATGACGGGTTTGACCGGTGTCGCCGTGTCCATCATTCTGGAAGCACGGGATCCGAGGATGAGACTTTGAGGTTGGCACCAAGGACATATCAACAATATCATCGTGAATCATCACCAAAAAGGTCCTTAATTAATATTCTTGTTAGCTTTGTGGACTAGCCTCTGCTCTTGGGGCTTTGGACCAGAATAGCGGAGGACTCCAACCAAAACCCCTTGACGACTGGAGATCTGAGTGGAGTGGATTCCGTGAGAAGCTGGAGCGGCGGAGACGAGGTCCTCCGCCGGAAGGGCTGGGAGGTGATGATTCAGCTGGCCCGCGCCTGAGAAGCACCAAGGGAATCCAAGGGACTCGCAAGATGCGAGGTTTTGTCTTCAGGGATTCTGGAGCTGAGAAGGGTAAACAGATGTCAACGGGCGGGATCAAGCGTGTTCGGCTCCTGCCGTGGTGCAGGTGGTTTGACCCGCTGGTGAAACACCGATCGATGCAGGCTGCCAGCGTGTTGGCATTCATTCCGGTTCTGGGCACCGGGGTTCCGGCCTTCCAGATGGCCTGTCCGAGTGCCCAGCGACTCGAGGGAGACGAGGAAAGGAGTTTTTTGAAGGTGACCTTGGAGGTGATGGGTGGATTGCGTCGATGGGCACGTGAGATGGAGAATTTCCATGCATTTCCTCAGTCACAGTCCACAAACCCAAACCTTCTGGGCAGAGTGGCTGGGCCGTTTGACGAAGTTTGGAAAACCCAGCGCTCGGCAGGGTTCAACACCACCACGATGGAGAGGCTTTTTCCCATGAAGGAGATTTTTTTCCAATCATTTTGAAGCATCAATGACTTTCCAAGCTTTTACAGTACATGTTTTTGACCTTCAATGTTGAGGAAACAGCCTTGTCCAGTTGCAGATTTCATTTCCTTTTGCAGGAATATGTCCAGCTGAAAGCGCAGGCTGGCGACAGAACGCCTTGTCATGCCCTTGAACCAGATCGGCCCTTGGTCGATAAGTTTCCAGCAACAATGGTCGAGGTGGAGAATTGAAAGCTCAGGACGATTTATAGCTGTTCCTTGTTTCTTCGATGGTGGCCATGTCTTCTCCCACGGGCCGGCCCCAAAACCGACGTCTGGATGCAGGTCTATTGCCCACTGGGCCCTGGATTCTACCGTGCGTTGCTTGGGAATTGGAGGGACCAGAGTTGATCGACAAAAAAGAGAGGGACTGTAGAGCAGGACCAGACTTGAGAGGGACCAAACTTGAGAGGGACCAAACTTAAATGTCTCAACCAGTCGAGTCTTTGTTCATGTCCATCTTCCACCCTCGTGGGATGGACCCTGCCTTTATCCGTTTTGAGGGCAGAGCGGCAGGGAGAATCTGAAGATGATCTTGGGCAAAAGGCTGGGGCCCCGCCCGGGAGAGGAAGGGGATAAGTTCGCAGAACATTTCCAGAATCAAGCAGCCCAAGACAAGCACGGCCAGTTCTTATTGGGGCCTGTTTGTGGGAAATGAATTGCAATCACATAGTAGATGAGTTCGATCACCGATACAGGAAAAGCACTAAGCCTAGCGACTCTGTGTAACCTGAAGACCTGGATGATTGATGCCAATCGGTGCTGTCTCTATCGATCTGGGTGTGTTTCAAAAGAGGAACCCTCACTTGCCCTTGCTGCTCAACCCGTTTGTTCAGAACCCTTGCCCTTCTTTTGAGAGATGCCCCAAAAACCCGACCACCTGTGGCTTTCGCAAAGGGTGGACAACCCTTGCACTTCGTTCCGCTTTTCTGTTCCATTTGTGTTTGCCCACCCCACCGAAGCGGAACGCCGCTCGCTCTTCGCTGAAGTGGCTTATACCACCCCGCTGAGGTGGTGGATCCGGCTGCTTTTCCCCGTTCCTGGACAGCTGGACATGGGCAGGGGGCCCTTTTCCGCGAGGGCGGGATTTTCTCCAAACAGAGGGAATCTGTGGCTGATGGCATATGGGTTCTCTCGGGTTCTCTTCAACATTCCTATCAAATAGTCTAGCACAGAAATGATTGGCGATTCTCAGAAGTTGATGAAGGGCCTCACCCACCAAGCTGGCTGAGACCTCTTCCTGGCGCCGCCTCCCAGCCAAGCAGGCCTGGAAGAGTATCAGGTGGATGCGTGGGAAGAAGTCAAACCCCGGACACAGGGTTGCCCGATTTGTTCCGTCCCAAGCTTCGAGGGATTTTCGGTCTTTTCGAATAAGCCCTTGGAAGGGTGATGATGGCGCAGGCCTGCCGTCTCTACCAGATCGGCGAAAGTGAAGCATGTTGGCTTTGAAGGGCCTTTCCAACCGAGGTTCGGTCTGGTTCCAAACGTGCTTCTTCGATGGTTTCGAGCCAACTGAGACTGCCAACGTCGTGCCAACGTCGTGCCAACGTCGGGGGCGTGGTTCTGCTAGGCAGCCAGGCTTTGCTCCAGCGCATTGAACAGGTGAAGGACCGGGTCCTGCTGATTTGGGGCCTGTCCTTCGCCATGGCATCTTCCAAAATTGTTCAAGAAACACGGGCAGACCAATCCACCTGAGTATGCTTCAGTCTTGAACCTCTTACCCGGAGACCAAGCACATTCCGAGGGGGGTGTACCAGCATGTAGAAGTTCTTTTGTTCGATCTCGGATCAATGTGTTTGGTGATTGGCGATCGACATTTTGCTTTGACAAGCAGTGTGTTGAGATGAGAAACTCGGACATACCCCGCCGTTTCACGGCCCGTTTCTGGTCGGTGAAAGGCTTCTTGTGGGAACGGTGGGAACTATGGTCGAGCCATGCATTTGTTCATGAACTCTGATTTGGTAGGAGAACGGAGTGAAGCAGGAGGTGAAGCCGTTGTCTCAGACCAGAGTGGAAGAGAAGGGGAAGTGCCGCAACAGTTCTTCACATCAAAGCACTGCAGTTGACACTCGTGCAAGCCATCAAAGCACTTCACTGGATCGTGCGGCATTGGGGAGCACTTCTATTCAGCACGCCCATTCCCCAATGGCCCAACTTTCACCACTCCCCGGAAGCTTCTTTTTGGGAAGTTGATTCTTTCAAACCGATTGAAGCAGGGCCAGGATGCGGTGCTTTCATCGGAGGTTTTTTCACATGGGGGAACACATGTTAGAGCGATGAGAAGGGAAATAGACGTGTTGATGGACACTTTAGAACAGAAGGTCAGGTTTCAACACGATAAAATGTTTCTACAAGCAATCAAATCTTATGTAAAGAACTGGAAATATACCTATCTGTGAATTCCGTCTCCTGTTGGCTGAAACGCACAAACGAGAAGTGTACAAAAGCAAGCCACGTACGCCGTGGCTCAAGTCGGGGCAAGGACCCTGTGGCTGGCGGAAAAATGTCCGTCAGGTTTGATCCATAGTGGTAGCGGAGCACCAAGCTCCAGGGTGCGTCCGTGTTAGGTTGGGTTAGTTGCCATGGCGGACGGAAGGAACCATCCAATCCCTCGCAGCGATGGAAGTGGAGTTGATGAAGGGCATCGTGAAGGCCCTGGACGATCTCAAGGAGATGGCGCGACGCCAGGAGGCCCTGGCTGGTCTGATGGTTTCGATAGTGATGAGTACCGTGAATTTGTTCGCGACCGGCGACGTCGAGCTCGCGACCGTGACCGAAGTGGACCTCGAGAAGATGAAGGTGATTGGCGCGGGGGATCCAACGCCAAAGCGCCTGAGTGGGATGGGACTTCGATCCCCTTCCAGGACTGGCTGATCAAGGCCAAACTATGGCTTGCCATCACCAAGACCCGGAAGAACTCACAGGGTCCTATGTTGCTTCAGGGTCTGTCAGGAGTGGCATTCCAGACCTTCAAGCATTGGGCCAGGGATTCGACCTGGCTTCAGAACGATGAAGGAGGACATGAACTACTGGCTGCAATGGACTTGCCCGAGAACTTCGGTGATGATCGTGAAGAAGATTTGTTGAGCTCCCTGGCCAAGATCACTTACCACATCCGCAGGGAGAAGAACGAGGAACACCGCATCTTCTTCAATCGATGGGAAGAAGCAATGAGGCGAGTGAATTCGCGCAAGGTAGAGCTGCCTGACCCCTACAAAGGCTTCCTCCTGATCAACGCCTTGAACTTGAGCGAGCAGGACATCAAGAACATGATGAACTTCACGAGGGGAAGCATCTCCACGAAGGACGTCAAGGATTGGGTCAGAAAACATGAAACGAAACTCATGGCCAAGGAAGTGGGCATCGAGCTGAACAAGAACAAGGGCAAGACCGGGTCCAGTTCATCGGCTACCGCACCTGTGCACCACATCGTGGCCGATGAGCACACCGACTACCTCGATGAGAGTGAGATCTTCGAGGCCGCCCTCGAGGAGCTCGGGGACGAGGGGGAAGAGAATGGACCAGAGGGAGAAGGCGAAGGTGAAGAAGATGAGACGCTGGACGAACATGAAGTTCGAGAAGTGTTGAACACTCTGGTTCAGAAACGGACTTTCAGCCAGAGCATGAAGTTGAAGAAGGCCAAAGAGCTGGCCAGGGGCTATGGAGGTTGGAAAGGGTCTGGAAAAGAAAAAGGAAAGCAAGGCAAGAGCAAGCTGATCGATCAGCTGAAGCAAAACAGCAGATGTGCCATCTGCAAGCGTGTGGGACATTGGCATCGAGAATGTCCGGATGGCAAAGGCCGTGGGAAAAGCACGACGAAAGAGAACTACTACATGGAAAAGATCAAGGAAGAGCAGTCAGAAGAAGCCTTCTTTTGTGGACACCTTGAGGTGACTGAGCCGACAGAGAAGGAGGACATGAAGGACTTCAACGATGAAGAGTTCTTCCGCCTGTTTGATCCTGAGGATCAGTTAGATTGAGAGATCTACGGAGATCAAATGCGCCACTTCGAGGAGAACTATGAACCGCCAGAAGAGGCTTTCGTGGAGCAAGAGGGCACCGTTGTTGAGATGGACGTGAAGCAAGACTCACTGATGCCTCCGACGGTGACCTCCACTACATCGAGCAAAAGCCCGACTGAGCCTGAGGGTGATCGGAAAACCAGTGTTTTTGCAGTGGTATCCAGCTCCCACTCTGTAGCTGGACAGAAGCACACATCTCATTCCCGATACAAGGTCCAATGCGCTGCTATTGGTAAGGGGGTTGAAGGAAATGAGAGTGAAGTTTTGTTTGTTTTGGGGGATTCTAGTTTGCGGGGGAAGGCATCCGAGAATCATGATCACCCGAAAGACCGCCACAGGAGGACAGAAACGTCAACAAGCCAGTCCTCAACATGGTCAGAAAGCAGTACGCATGACGATGGATGCGCCACAATCGACACTGGCTGTCAACGAATGGCTGTTGGGGCAGACACATTGTTGAGGTTGTCCAACCACATCCCTAGTTCCCTGTGCATTGGAACGGTCCCTCAAGAACATCGATTTCGGTCGGTCAATGGAACCTCGACGACGTCGCATTTGGCCACGATCCCGACAAGCCTAGGACACAAAGGTAGCATCTTACGACCAGCAATATTTCAAGAAGGTGAATCACGAAAGGCTCCATTCTTGATCTCGCTCCCTTTTCTACTCCACTGCCGCGCTGTTTTGTATTTGGATCCTCAAAAAGGTCTTCGATTATACCTTCGACGATTTGGGTTTAGTGTCGATTGTCATCTAGGACCTACTGGAGCACTCCGGGTTCCTTTGAACCAGTTCAACAAAGAACAGACAAAACGACTTCAACAACTACATGATCAGATGCAAGCAGGATCCAAGGAATTCGAAATCATGAAGACGATGGCCAACGAGCAGATATCTGGCTCGAGATCGGTGGGTCCGAGCAATCCAGTTGCTCAATCATCAGCAGCCTCGCCATCAACTTCCTGCCATGAAGCGCAGCCGAGTCGAAGAGAGCCGCTATGTGTCCATTTGGGCCCGACTGGTGACCAAGCTCCTCTTCGTGATGATCCGATTGAGCGAACTCGCCCTGGACCTTCTTGGGGAACGTCGCAAGAAAAGCCCCATCGAGGAGGAGGACTCGGATGTCGAGACCGACCCGGAGGATGCGGAATGGGAATCTGTTCCCAATCGGGGACGAAACAAGGTGTTCAATCTATGGACGACATCGGCCGAGGAGGGGAGTCCATCGATTCGGACCATGCACTCGCCCAGCCAAGTCCAACAGACACCGGCGACCACCTCCGAAGAGATGCACTCGATCAGCTACCGGCCGTCTCCAGGATCTCCGACGACCCCATCAATCCTCCAGGAACCGACACCGACTCCAAAGACTCGACCGATTCCAAAGAACAAGAACCGGAAGGAGCCCTCCAAGGAGATCGAGGAAAAAGCCGGGAAACCTGGATTGATCGACTCCGAGAATTGCCAACACACTCGGACAACCAAAAGGGGGACGAATGCCTTCGTCTTAGTGGAGAAGTGCCTGCAATGCAACAAGACATTGAAATCCGAACGGAAGTCGGATGCACCAGACACGCACATCAAGACGGAAGTCAAGAAGGAGATCCAATCCACGGGAGAAACCGACGAGGAGAAATCAGAGGAGTTCAAGGAGTTCCTCGAGTACCAGAAATGGAAGAGCCAGAAGGATCGTCAGAAGTGAGATCCAACATCCACAATGAACTTCCCGGCCAGTGGAGAGAACTTGGAGAGAAAAACTATAAGGCCATGGAAGCTTCTCTTCGGAATGCGGAGTCCTACCTGACGGAGCTCATGGGTCTCCTGAGTGCTGATGAGCCAATTTGTGCCATTGCAAAAGACTTAGAGCGCATCAAGTCCAGTTCGAAAGTTCATCGGCACTATGCTAAGATGATTAAGGGAACCCCAAAGACAGTTGCTGAGCTGTTCAACCCCAAGCGTTTCGCACCTTACTGCAAACGGTCAGGACTGATTGCTGCCGCTGCCTTCGACCTGAAACTTGGCGACCAACTTCTAGATCCTGGAGAACGAGACGGGGTGAAAAACTTCTTCCGAGAACAACGACCAGGTCTGACTATTATATCACCCCCCTGTACTTTGTTCTCAATCATGCAGAACATGAATGTGGACAAGGAGAACTTTCAGCAACGACTTCGAGAAGCTCGAGTACTCCTGCACTTCGCATGCGAGATCGTAGAAATCACCGAGGACTATGGTGGCATCTATCTCCTCGAGCAACCAATGACATCTCGAGCATGGATGGAGAGAGCCCTACAAAAGATCACTCAAAAAGAGAATTGCATCCTCGCGAAATGCGACCAGTGCCAATTTGGATTGCGCGACAGAGCAGGAGGCATCATGAAGAAACAGACCGGGTGGATTACAAACAGCCCGAGGATTGCAGAGCAGCTGAACCGGCAATGTCAAGGAGAACATCAACACACCCCGGTCCTCGGCTCATGCATGGGAAGCAGCCGAGCGACACAAGCTCAAGAATACCTTCCAGCATTGATCAAGGCGATCCTACAAGGTTACTGCCAAGAAATCAAAGAGCACCACAAGATCAAGTCCGACGAGATGGAATGGCTGGGCCTCAAGGACTATCAGGAGCTTGAGAGAAGGGTACAACAGAAAACAAATCTATGGCTATGGTTCATGAACGCCACTCGGGCTGAACCACGAGAGCCAAGACACCACGAAGTACATCCTCTCCAAGATGAACCCGAACAAGAAGAAGCAGAAGAACAGAAAGAGAAAACATACCTACCCAGAGAACGACCATTCTCGACCGAGCAACTTGTTCGACGAGCGCATGAAGGACTGGGACACCCTGGAAATGCGAGATTGGCTCGAATTTTGAAGGGAGCCAACGCTTCGAAGAAGGCCATCGAATATGCCAAAAATCTGGTGCGCTCAACATGTCAGCAACAACAACTGGTGAGACCTCCAAGAGCGGCCGCCCCTCCAAAGGAACTTCCACCAAATCACACGATCGGCATCGATACAGTTTGGCTACCGACACCAGGAAAGAAAAGAAGAATGGCACTGAACATCGTATGCTGGTCGACTCGATTTCAGATGGTGATCCCACTTCGGAGTCACACCGCCACCGACGCCCGAAGAGCTTACCTGGAATGGATTCGGTTCATGGGTGTTCCACAAAGGCTCTACACCGATCTTGGAAAAGAGTTTTGCTCAGCATTTCAAGATGGAGCTGAACTTGATGAAACTTTGGTGGAACCCAGTGCATTAGAGATGCCTACTCAGAGATCCATCACCGAGAGAGCTGGAAAGACCTTCAAGGAGATCCTGGTAAAAGCAATGGACAACTATGCCGTGCAATCGGACTTGGAGTGGCGAGACTTGGTAGACATTGTGAACATGACGGTCAACAGATTGGCAAACAAATCTGGATTCTCGCCCTGCCAAAGATTGCTGGGATACACCCCAAAGATGCCCGGAGGATTACAGTTTTTGACTGAAGAAGAAAAGGAAGCTCGAAGCTGGGCACACCGAGGAGATTTACAAATACAGCGAGCTCAGACGATGCGATTGGCTGCTGCGAGAGCATTCCATGAAGTCGAATGCCAACAAGCACTCACCAATTCACTACATGCCGGAAAACGAGAAGTCACAGATTTTGAAGTGGGTCAGACCGTCTTCTTTTGGAGGAAAGCACCCGGAGATCAGGCCAGCAAAGAAAGTCCAAGTTACTGGCGAGGACCCGCAAAAGTGATATTGACTTCACCACCTGGAGCGATCTGGATTAGTTTCCGGAGACACATCGTTAAAGCAGCTCCTGAACAACTCAGACTTGCAAGCGCCGAAGAACATCAATCTCTATCATCATGGATGGAAGGCCTCTCGAATCTACGGCACATTTTAGAAGAAGAACCCAAGTCTGGATACATCGACCTGACGAAGGAAAGTCCTCGAGAAGAACTTGATCAAGAACTAGACCAAGATGGAGGACTAACACTCGACCAAGAACCGAAGAGACCAAAATACAAGATCGAAGGAAAAACATCTAGTCAGGAAGTCGAGATGAAGCCAGAAGAAGATGAATGGCTATGGCATGAAACTCATAAAACGTTGACCAGGGTCCATCGGCAATGGAGGCAGACAACCTTCAAGCCAAATGACGTGGCTGATTGTCCCATCGACTACAACCGACTCAAGGCACAAAGGAGGACCACTATGTACTTTGAGGATGGGACCACACAAGAAATAGTCGATGAGTGGCATGGAGAACCTCTTCTACAAGACCATCGCTGGAAAGGAAGAACAGAATTTCAAATGGATGATGACCCACTGCCATGGGAGAAGACCGAGACAGAGAAACCACGCCAGGAGAAGATCTACGAGGATCCCAGCATGCGAGAAGGGAAGGAAGAACATGGAACGAAGAGGACAATGGAAGATGATGAAGAAGAAGCCACAGGCTTTGAGAAAAAGGCGAGGAGAGAGGAAGAAGAACAAACAAAAGAATCTCGAGGAATGTCCCGAGCTCTAGAAGAAGCTGAAGAAAGTGACCCTCCTGGACCTGCGAAACGACAAAGAATTGACTGGATAGAGGTGATGATGACGACATTGATGCCTGAGATCAAGAAGCAGAGAGGACAAAAAGAAATAAAACTTAAAGAGCTATTGCAAGAAGCCCGGACGAAGTTCTGGAAAGCCATCAAAAAGGAGGTCGACAACAATATACAAACGGGAGCCTACGAGATCCTCTCACCAGAAGAGTCAGAGAAGATTCGACGAGAAGGACATCACATATTGCAATCACGATACGTACTGGTCGAGAAGCGAATCGAGCCAGATGAGGTCCCAAAGATCAAAAACGATGGACTACTGCTTCATGAAGACGAACACGGAGGATTCAAAGCCAAGGCTCGACATGTGATGAAGGGCTTTAGTGAGCCGGACTCCGAATGGTTGGAAGCGGCAACACCTCAAGTCGCACCGGAGACAGTTTTACTGGTGCTTCAAACCTTGGGATCAAAGAAATGGATCCCAGGATACTTGGACTTCACCCAAGCATTCCATAGCGGGGATGAGATATCTCGCCTCCTATTTGCAGAACTCCCCGCAGAAGGACTTCCAGGAGTACAGGACCGACACCTCCTTCGACTGAAAAAGCACTGTTATGGTCTACTTGATGGTCCATACCAGTGGTACAGCCACCTTCAGAGGATCCTCAAAAGTTTGGGATACGAACAGTCTCAAGCTGATCCCTGCCTTTTCTTCCTCTTCGACAAACCAGAACATGTGGAGCGACCAGAAATGGAAGAAAGACAGATCGAAGGGATCATAGGAGTGGCTACTGATGACTTACTACACGGAGGAGGACAGAGGCATTGGGAAAAGATGCAATGGATCAAAGACAACTATAAGCTCGGAAAGTTCTCACATGGCGATGGACGCTTCGTTGGAAAAGAGATCCAATGCCTGAAAGACGGAAGAATCAGAGTCCATCAACAAATGTACGTCAAGGAGAAGATCAAAACAATCCCCATCAACAAAGAAAGAAGAATGGAAAAGTACAATTTGTGTAGTGAGACAGAGATCTCCAACCTGAGAGCACTCCTGGGAGCACTTGCATGGTTGGCCAAAGAAAGCAGACCAGATCTCATTGGAAGAGTTAGCATCCTACAACAATGCATGCCGAAGCCTTACGTCCGTGATTTACTAGAAGCAAATGCCTTAGCAAAAGAGGCCATTGCGGAGATTGACACAGGCATCACCATCATGCCAATCGAGTTCCAGAAGGTCAGAATTGGCTCAGCGTCGGATGCAAGCTGGGGAAACTCTCCATGTCCTGAACTTGAAGAACAAAGCAAGGATTTCTGGGAAGAAAGAGGAGACCTCTGGATTCGACACCATGTTCAACCTCGACATCTACTCTTTCATCCAGGAGCAGCAACCGGTGGACCTCAGCTTCATGAACTAGAGGCAGCACGAGCAACTTGGATTGACGACGAACTCTTTGAGGACACCTGGAATCGTCGAGAAGATGTTCGAAGACATGGTGAAAGCATCTGGAAAGGGCACACAGTTTTCATGAAAAAGAAGTCAAAGACCAGATTGGAAATCCATGAAAAGTTTTTGCAAGTTGGACGAACTCATAGCCAAGGAGGCCACATCGTCTTTGCATACCATCAGGATCTAGAAGTAGATCAAGCTCCTCAACCAATTTCTATCCTGGGATGGAAGAGCTATAAGTTGAAAAGATGCACGGTGAACACTTTAGCTGCCGAAGCCCAGGCCATGATCTATGGGATTGGAGCCTCCTACTGGATTCGATTCATGTGGTCGGAGATCAAAGGCCTTCGAATGAACCTAGCCAACTGGCAACAGCAGATCGGAAGGACCCCCTTCATTGCCGTCACAGATTCTCGTTCGCTGTTCGACAATTTGAGCAAGTCGACTAACATTGCATCGCACGTGGATGACAAGCGGACAGCCATCGATTTGACGATTCTGAAGAATGACTTGCAGCACACAAGAGGACAGCTGCGATGGGTGGCGGGGGAAATCATGATTTCGGATGCCCTTACTAAGAAAGGTCCTGCTAGCTTTTTGAGGGGAATCATGAAACTTGCGTACTGGACCTTGTTCGAAGTCGGAGCCAAAGAGCTCAAAACGCATTTCAGCCAACATAAAGTAGGAGCGATGTGAATTCCGTCTCCTGTTGGCTGAAACGCACAAACGAGAAGTGTACAAAAGCAAGCCACGTACGCCGTGGCTCAAGTCGGGGCAAGGACCCTGTGGCTGGCGGAAAAATGTCCGTCAGGTTTGATCCATACTATCACATCCTCTATTCCTTTCACGACCTTGATATTATGACTTGGAGTAAAAAGAGACGGCAATGGTGGTTTCCTAACCTTGAAGAGTATCAGTATTACTATTTTAGACACCGACCATTCAAAATAAAGGACATTTTGGACATTTTCTTGCGTGAATACCTCAAAGAACTCTTCAGATACTATGAGCACTATAGACTATATCAACGAACCAAAAATAGAAGAGCACCTACAAAAGGTGATAAACACTTAAAGAAACATTATTTGTCTCTCTCTCTCTCTCTATATATATATATTAAGAGAACAATGACAAGTGCTAAAATTTATGATATGAGTAAAGTATCAGAAAATTTAGGGTTGTATATTGAAGTTGGTTAGTGATAGTGACATCATGGACTTCATCAAAAACAACCCCTTTCCAGACAGATATACATTTATAGACATACAGTTAGAGACAGTGAGAAAAGACAATCAACAGGTATCAAAGTCTTCGGAACGACTTGTAATTATAGGATATTGAAACAACTATATGAACACATCATGAATGAGGATATAGTCCGAGAATGCGGTAGAGAACTATATGAAAAGGATGGTATGCGTGATATGGTGAGATGTCATACCTTATTTAACGAAATCATACACTATAACTACAACAAAGGAGACAACAAAGAAAACTACGATAGAACGATGATAATACCATTAGCGAGGTTGGTTGAACACTACTGGGATGGAATAGGAATGTGGAAAGCGTAAAACACGATTAATTCATAATATCTTAATAAAACATATTATTGACTAATCCCTTAAACCCAAACCCCCAAGAAAAAACAAACGAACCTAAACAAGTCTTAACCTCATCCATTATCACCGAACAGAGTGATTTTTAGCACCAAATTTTCCCCAGAAACCCCATAGAGAATCATTACAAAGCCTCAACAACAAAAATTTTCAACGAGGCGGTTGATGAACAAGAACTCCCCAGAACCCCCATTTTACAATTTTTTCACCCCGTGTTCTGGTGGCACATTCTGGGGTGGGGCCAACTCTTCGCTCTCTGAGGCATTGCCAAGACCTGGGCTTTGACCCGGGCCCTAGGCCTGAGCAGTCTGTGTGAGTGCCAAAGCAGCACCGACTCGTCACTCGGGTGGTTCACCGGGTGTGTGGGATCGACGGAGAGCTGAAAATGGCACGAAGAGCAAAGCGTTTTCCTTTGGAGGCTTACAGAACTCCACCTTGGATTCTTTGGTCTCCATGCCGGGTCCAACATTTTGGTAGGGTTCTCCAAGCTAGAGGTTCTCATTTTTTCACGGGGATTTGACCCCTTGGCTCACACACCCAGTGATTGAGCCACATGGATCTACATGGATTGCCATGGGCATCTGGTCACGTCACACTGCCAACGCAGCAGCTCCCCCAAATCGGGGAGCGATCGATGGCCAAAAGGTGGGGATCGATGTGTTCGCGCGCGGCGCGAAGTGGTGCTTCATCCTTGGGGGCTGATTACTCACCCGCCCCTGCTACAACATGTTACAACTGGAGTTCCTTTTTTCACCAACAGTGGAAGCTTGGGGTCTCAGCCAAACTAGGCACTGGCGCACTGTGGGGCAGTCATCCGGTGAGGTTCCCTGAGGTTCCGAGTGAAGGTTCCGAGGTTCCAAGTAAAGGTTCCCAGTCAAGGTTCCGAAGGTTCCGAGGTTCCAAGCGAAGGTTCCGTGTCAAGTGTCCAAAGAGTTCCAAGTAAAGGTTCCGAGCGAAGCTTCCGAAGGTTCCAAGTGAGGGTTCCGAGGTTCCAAGTAAAGTTTCCAAGTGAAGGTTCCGAAGGTTCCAAGAGAGGGTTCCGAGGTTCCAAGTAAAGGTTCCGAGTGAAGGCTCCGAAGGTTCCGAGGTTAAGGTTCCGTGTCAAGTGTCTCAAAAGTTCCAAGTAAGGGTTCCAAGTGAAGGTTCCGAAGGTTCCGAGGTTCCAAGCAAATTTTCTGTGTCAAGTTCCAAGTGAAGGTTCCGAGGTTCCAAGCAAATGTTCCGTGTCAAGCTGTCAAGTGTCCAAAAAGTTCCAAGCTTAAGGGTCCAAGTGAAGGTTCCGAAGGTTCCAAGTGAGGGTTCCGAGGTTAAGGTTCCAAGTAAAGGTTCCGAGCGAAGGCTCCGAAGGCTCCAGGTTCCGTGTCAAGTGTCTAAAAAGTTCCAAGTAAAGGTTCCAAGTGAAGGTTCTGAAGGTTCCGAGGTTCCAAGCGAAGGTTCCGTGTCAAGTGTCCAAAGAGTTCCAAGTTAAAGTTCCAAGTGAAGGTTCCGAAGCTTCCAAGTGAGGGTTCCGAGGTTCCAAGTGAAGGTTCCGAAGGTTCCAAGTAAAGGTTCCAAGTGAAGGTTCCAAGTGAAGGTTCCGAAGGTTCCAAGTGAGGGTTTCGAGGTTCCAAGCAAAGGTTCCGAGTGAAGGCTCCGAAGGTTCCGAGGTGAAGGTTCCGTGTCAAGTGTCTAAAAAGTTCCAATTAAATTGGTAAAGCTTCCAATTGAAGGTTCTGAAGGTTTGGAGGTTCCAAGCGAAGGTTTCCCTGTCAAGTGACCAAAGAGTTCCAAATAGAGGTTCCGAGTGAAGGTTCCGAAGGTTCCAAGTTGCCAACACCGAGTGTGCACCAAGTGTGCCCAGCCCAACCTCACGCAAAGCATGCCCTCAGCATGTTCCTGAGCGCGCGCTGCGCCTCTCTCTCTCTCTCTTTGATGACCTGGGCACACCGCCCACATGGCGTCCGCACTCGTGGAAAAAAACTCTCTCTCTCTCTCTCTCTTTCAATTTCTCTTTCTCTGTCTTTCTCTCTGCAGAGCGCGCTGTGAGCGCGCCTTGCTGGAGCGTATTTCAGAGCGCGCCAGAGCGCGCCGTCCAAAGCACACACGCGCTCGCCCTGCTGTCTTTCTTTCTTTCTTTCTTTCTTTCTATCTCTCTCTTTCTGCCTTTCTCTTTCTTTCTTTCTTTCTGTCTTTCTGTCTCTCTCTCTCTCTCTTTCTCTTTAAATTTCTCTTTCTCTGTCTTTCTCTCTGCAGAGCGCGCTGTGAGCGCGCCTTTCTGGAGCGTATTTCAGAGCGCGCCAGAGCGCGCCGTCCAAAGCACACAAGCGCGCGCACGCGCTCGCCCTGCTGTCTTTCTTTCTTTCTTTCTCTCTCTCTTTCTCTATCTCTCTCTTTCTGCCTTTCTCTTTCTTTCTTTCTTTCTTTGTTTCTTTCTTTCTTTCTTTCTTTCTTTCTGTCTCTCTCTCTCTCTCTCTTTCTCTTTAAGTTTCTCTTTCACTGTCCTTTTTCCGCAGAGCACGCTCTGAGCGCGCCTTTCTGGAGCGTATTTCAGAGCGCACACGAGCGCGCCGTCCATCGCGCACTGCTTGAGACTGACATGCCTCCGAGTTTCGCGCACTGCTTGAGACTGACATGCCTCCGAGTTTGGTAACAAAATTTTTTCTGACTTCAAGGGTGGGGCAGGGCGGCCGAATCTGAAACATCCACTTTGCCTCACTTGCTGTTGGGGTTTTACTTGGGCTTATTTTCTTTGTTCTTAAAAACAAAGCTTGACACAACAGAGGGCTGCATGCCTTATTGGCCCAAACATTTGGCATAAGAGATGGCAGAAGAATTCTTGCCCCAGTTGTGTTGAAACAGGGAGGGCACACCACTTGGGTGGAAAGGGCAGCTGAATGAACGATGGACGCAACAGCCCAAGCATGATGGCATCGCTCAAATAGCTTTGAGTGCCTTTTGAAAGACCACGACTTCCATCGCTTGATCGGTTTGTGGGTGCCAATTCGACTGGGCCCTACATCGGTTTTTTGGTTTGGACCGAGTTTGGGTCCACCTGCAGGGACCTCCCGAATGACTCGGTGAAGCTGCCCCATCCGAACGGAGCCATTTTGGACCAGTGACCCAGCAGCGGCAATGGATGGAAGCAAGGTATCTCCAGCCCACAGAAGTCAGATTGCGTCACCAAGTTGGTACAGGCAGCTGTTTTTGCGCGGATGAAAAGCTTTCAGTCCAGGTCTAGTTCGCGAAGAGAGCTCTTGATTCAATTGGCTACGACGCAAGACACACATGGATAGATCCAAGAAGGCCTGATGCTGTCTGCCGTCGGGGTTCCCAGAGCTCCCATCAGAGAGTCGGGCGAATCGGGCGCTCCTTTATAGCCCGTTTTTTGAGCGAACGCACTTTTCATGGAACGTGTCAAAACCATCAGAGCACAGACAGTTTCAGATGCTACTCTTGGATCACAGAGTAAGAAGGGAGGTTGCTTTCCCTCATGACATGATCCCACATGCTTGGTATTCTTTCTGCCACGAACGGCAGCGGCATAATTAGGTGTCACCCAGCGGCAAAGGAGGACTGCTGGAGTGGTGCTGCATGGGAAAAAGGGCACAGTAGAACCAGAGTGTTTGATATGGATTGGACGACAGGCTCCAAACTCAGGGCTCCATGATGGGTCCAGTCTTGGCACCCGTTCGTTTTTATTCCTGAAGAGCTCCACAGAAAGAACACAACACATAAACACACACACACACACACACAGGAACCACTCACCACCCGGTGAACCAGGCCGGGCCACCCCGATGCCAGGCTCTCACACGGTTTGGGGTCGACCCGAAATCTCCAGCTCCAGCGAGCCGGGCTCCGAGGGCCTCAAGGTCTTTGCCCGGGAGCCCGGAGCAGCGGGGTCTGAGCGGAGGTCCTTAGACCCACCAAAGGAGGCCAAAGGACGTGTGGTTGGAGGATGTTCGATGCTTTTTGTAATGATTGGATCCGAGTGATCATTACGGCGGAGAACTCTTTTACATGACGCGAGGTGAGGTTGTTTGGTGTTCTGCGCTGATAAGAGGGGCAAAGTCGGGTTTCCGGAGCTGAAGATTGACAGCATTTGATGATCATGGAGTAACCTGACCAACTCAACTGTTTCGGACATGGCAGTCCTTCTGTGGGCTTGCACATGTTCTCCATGACAAGGAGCTACATTCATTCATATCAATCTATTAGGGCTTTGGTTGGACTTTGCCTTCTTTTGGGACTTGGTATGATGACTTTTCCATGCGCCAAGCGCTGCTCGACTCACTCTTCACTCCTCGCACTGTGGATCGCCCAGGGAGGAACTGCCAATGCGTACGGCATGAGTCCATCAGGGAGCAGCGAAAACCGCCAAAGTCCTCATAACCAGAGGCGCGCGACGCGCGTTTCTTTTTCTGAAGAGGTGCAAGACCACATCAAAAGCCAAGACAGGGGGGCACTCGGTTGATTTGGTTGGACGTTTCTTTGAGTACTGGAGGGTCCAAGGTGCTTTGACTTTCAGAGTGCCGAAGTCCATCCGAGCCCGTTTTTTTGTATGCCTCCGCAGGTGCTGGGGCGGAGCCGACACGTCCGGTACCCTTTTTTACATGTCCCGACTCCAGGAGTCGATACATGGCGGACGCTCAGAGACAGTTCTCCGCGGTGGCCCAGCGAACGCCCAATGAGGACCGGGGAGGGGGACGGGAGGGGGACGGGAGGGAAGGAGTGTCTTTTTATTTCTTTATACATGTATACACACATATTATATATATGATATGTATACGTATACCCCTGGAGGTCAAAGATTTGGTTTTGTAGTGTAAAACCCGTAATGGTTGTTCGGTAAAGGCTATTAAAACAATTGTTGTTCGACTTCTAGGGTAATATGTTATAGTATAGTATAATATATGTATATGTATCTATATATTTGTTCGATCGTTTTTCATGTTGACGACGATGCAGAATGTGGGGGGAGTACCTAGATGGTTGGTCAATTGTGTCGGCGCTTGTTTCATCATACTTTTGTTGTCTCAGACTCCAGAAGTTTTGTCCAGCCGGACAAGTGAACCAACTCAGGGGAGCACCGAGTATGTGGTCCTTGCGCAAGAAAGACCCGACATTTGAAGATCTTCTCCGCCTTTCTCAGGAGCGGAAGAAGCTCCAGCGCAAGGTGGCCAAGCCAGAACCCGAATCCACCGCCACTCGGCCAAGCTTTCATGGAAGGGGGAGAGATCTCGGGGCTGTTTGGCTGAACGTGGTTTCGTCGTTGGTGCTTTTCAGAGGGAGATGGTTGGTTCAAAGAGAATGTCACAGGAGGAGGCTTGAAGTGGGACGTGCCAGTGATCATTACGGACGGGAGCAGACCGTGCAAGTGGCACCTTTTTGTAGGAGTTCACTGGGTTCATTCATGACTGCTGATTCTTGAGCAAAGACGGGGATCTCCAACCATCTCCACAGGCCGAAAAAACCCTTGGCCCAAAAGACGTGGATCTCCAGTGACATCATCCATCAGTTCTTGTTGCTGCACGCCCACTGGGCGTTCGCTCTCCCTCCAAGGAGTCGGAGAGCTCCGAAACGCCCGAGGGTGGGAGCCCCGTGGTGAAATCCAGCACCGGCAGCAGCAAGCTTAAGAAGGAGTCGTTGGGCCTGGA